GTGGTATTTGTAAAATAAAACTTAAAAAATTACAATAATCAACAAATAATCCAAAACTCAACTCAAAATATGAGTGCAGGGAGATGGAGAGAGATTATCTTACCCAACATTACCTGAAATAGCATTATTTTAATGGTGCTGAATTATCTACGAAATAGGGATGCTCCGATCGATCGGCCGCCGATCGGTATCGGACGATATTCACTCTTAATAGTGTGATCGGTGCTCTCTATAAAGGCCGATCAGGAGAGCCAATCAGATGACGCAAAATACATGAGACTTTTCTCTGTGCGCGGCAAAACAAGCTCGCCAAAATGGCTTCACCAGTCTGGCAGTTTCTTAAGGTGTCCGAAAAAGACAATAAAATAATGGTATGCAACTTGTGTGAAGCAGAAATCCTGCAGCTCCGCCTGCTGTGACGGACCGGTGAGCGGAGCAAAACACACACTTCAAGTGGGACCTAAGACACTTAGCTAGTTGATCTACCTCTGGAACTAGCTAAACTAGTTATAAATAGGTTTATTCTTCACTGTCGGGTCACTCATTACTGGATCAGTAAGCTGCATGAGACGGATAGGGACCGGCTGTCAGGAGAGAGAGAGAGGGGGAGAGGAAAAGAGAGCGCTTCCGCTCATTTCTCACGTGTTATTATCCAAAGTTAATGTGAACTTGAATAATGTACTTAATTTGAATGTAATAATTATGTTGTTTGTTGTTTGTGGAAGCGCATCATGTATTGAAAAATTAATCTGAACTTTTCGATCCGTTACGATGATAAACTGAAGCAATACAAAAATGAGCCCCATTAACTGAGTTTTAAACATTACTTTAAATGGAAGATCCCCATAGCCCCCACCCACCCTATGATCGGATCGGCAATCGGTATCGGCCGATTCTGATTCCGGTGATCGGCGATCGGATATCGGCCCCAAAAACCCTGATTGGAGCATCCCTACTACAAAATATTATCATATATATTTTATTGATAGGATATCAATATTTCATATATTTTCACATATCACTGTTGTCATTATTAAAGTTATATCGCAACAACCCTTGAGCACACACGAGAAATGGCTAATTCTTCATTGAATATACCTCTATAACTGCTCCCAAAAGTTGAATCAAGTGGCTCCAGACAAATTAACAAGGAGCTTAAAAATGAATGGGCCAACTGAGAGAAGTGTCTCAATCAGCACTATGCCGGTAAAAGTTATCTGACACCTGGAGGGAAAATTCCCTATTGCTGTAACTCTGTATCTCTGGAGATTTAAACGTCTTTTCTTGGCCATGTACTGCCGGGAGTTGATAATTGAGTTGAGACTCAGGAAATACTCATTAAGACGTTGTCAGTCGCCAGCGGAGACTCAATGTGTTTAGACACTGGTGAGACTGCAGGTATTCCACAACCCTTCTCCTCTCCAGCTGGAGGGCAAATGTGTGTGCAGGTGTGTGTGTGTGTGTGTGTGTGTGTGTGTGTGTGTGTGTGTGTGTGTGTGTGTGTGTGTGTGTGTGTGTGTGTGTGTGTGTGTGTGTGTGTGTGTGTGTGTGTGTGTGTGTGTGTGTGTGTGCTTTACAGTCAGCATGTGTGAGTATTCATGTGTGCACAGGTCCATGGAGCGCCATCTGCCTGCACAATGTTTGATGGAGCAGGAGCTGGTTGTGAGGGACACCCCTGTCACACACTATGTGGGACAAATTATTGACAGAAACACCTGTTTATTGTCTCACCCTTTCCACTATCTCCCCTGGAGCAGCTGTTTGAATGCATGGAGTTTACGACAGGAGGCTACACAAACCTCTCAGCCGGTCATTGCTTTCGTATACAAAGTTGCTTGTAAATAAAAACAGACAGTTAAGAGCATTCAAATGGGTTCCTGTTTTTAGTTGAAGAGGTTTTATGCAAGCTTGTTACCTGGCATACTGAGTTCTACATTATGTAAATGTGTTCAGGCATCACCCTATTTCCATTTATAAAGGTCCACTCAAATGAAATGAATAGTGAGCTTTCAGGGGTTACAATCCCATTTATTTTCTGAATAAAGGATTTTAGCCATAATGACGTGACCACAAATAAGGTAGACCACACATTTTTTAATTATAGAACAATGCTATATGCTCCTCTTGAAGCCCAAAGTCTGTTGATATTAACCCTGTTTTTAGAATAATGCGTAGTTGCTATCTCATTATTTACAACACTATCCACAACCCTAAAGTGTAACAGTAACATCTCTGATTGGTGGAACTCGCTGTTGTCAGAGCTGGCGACCCATGTACTGGGGCTAGGTCCCAATGCGGAGGACCTGGGTTTGATTCTGATCTGGCACCGTTTGGCTCGTGTCATCCCCTCTGTCTCCCCTTTTCAACATTGTCACCTAAATGAAGGCACTGGTTGCCAAAATCCTTAAAAAATAAAATAAATGTAAACCACACAAACAGCCAGTAAAGGTATGTCTGTGTATTGGTTAGCTCCCTAAATATAACCAGATAAATATGGCAACACTCTTATATTACAACAACATTTTGAAGCGACAAGTAAATCATCAACAACAGTTCAATTAAAAGTGTATCGATAGTTTTCAGATGCGATCACCATTGGCTATTTGTATGGGTTGTGAAGTTCCCTCAATCTTAAAATATTTACTGTTAGTAAATATCATAGCTTTTTGGCTTAGTTCACTTCTAAACGCTTAATACTGTACCAGTATTTTCTGAAACTTCAATAAGGGGAACATTGACTTCCAGAGAAATTGACAAAGTTGGCAATCACTGTTCAGCTCTTTTCTGTTTTCTAATGGGAGTTTCTGACCCTAAGTGTCCTGGCCTCAATATGTCTATATTCAGTGAATAGTTAATCACTTTGTCAAACTTCTAGGTGATGGGATAATTAAAAGGAGCCTCAAGGTGTCTACCCATTGATCGTTTGATCTCCCCCTGCCTACCTCAGATGAAATTGATTAGAGCACTATCTATGATAGGGAAGAAGTAGAACACACACACACACACACACACACACACACACACACACACACACACAACTGCCACTTCTGTTCAGTTTGACACTTACAATGCAGAGGATCAACGTGAGGGGATGTTGGCTCAGAGCTCTTTGTCAGTAAATAATATCATCAACAATAATCAGGTGGACTTTTCACGAATAGGAATATCAGGGGCATGATGACTCAGAGAAAATGAAGTAAACACACGGTAGGTTTGAGTCCGAGCTTGTGCAGTGAATGCTAGTATAAATGCAATTGAACAGGATATTAGAACAATTATAAACGTTCAATTGCAAACCAGAAGCTGGCATGGATGGAAGCATAAAAACAACCATGAAATCCCAAATATACATTCCTAGGACTATTTTACTACTATTGCCATTGCTTAAATCAACATGTGATATGCTGTTAAAATGACCTAGCTTTATCTAGCTAAGAAAACACCAACAAGGAGCTTGTGTAATGTAATTACGCTGTCAGCTAGAACAGTGCCATAGTGGTCATCAGTTGGCCCATAAATGGCCTCCTATACGCTTTTTAGTGTGTTAAACAAGGGGCTGATGAAAAGCCTGTCCTTTTTCCTATTCCTATTGTTATATTCAATGTGCAATAAGTTGCTTTAATGATGTCAGGCTTGTTGCATTTGATTCAAAAGGGGTAGCCTGCATTTCTTTCCTTTTTGTGTGTATTCCATTACTCCTCTGATTTTTGCATCATGAGTTGATAAAAAGAGTATACATGCATTCAGGTGAATCTCAAACGCACGAGAGAGCTCCAGCAGCATTTTCAGTGAAACAAATGGATGAAATTTATTAAGCATGTGACAGTTAACACCCCCAGTAGGGAGACAACACTGCAGCGGATAAATAAATGTTGGTTTTACCAGCCCCTACCTCCTGTTATTTATACGCCACAGTCAACATTTCTATTAGGCATGAATTATGGCAACACATGATTATCCCTGCTATGATCATTATAAATACCTTCCCCCTCGCTGTATGTATGAGCAATATTTATCCAATTGTTGTATAGATTACAAATGCTGGCAGGCCGGTAAATGAATTACATATCTAATTTGGGCTCCAGGAAAGCTACGTTGTAAACAAGTGCAGATCACTCTCCCTGGCTTGTGTAGGAAAGTAGAATAATTATACTTCATTTATGTTGTAAGCCTGGATCGTATGGGTTCAGTTTGTTTTTTTTTAAATCTTATTTCCTTCATTTTCAACAACAAAAACGACTGAAAATAGGTGTAAAGATTCAAAGGCAATAGAGTCTCTTAGTCCCTGAATGATCGCTATGATTTTAATGCAGAGAAAAATGGTTTGTCTTTTCATGCAAGGCCTGAAAGTCTTGATCTTTAATGCCCCAAAGAATAGTGGAAACTGTGTGTGAAAATCCGCCCTAAGCCACACGGGAATGTTTAAAATGGATGAGAATAAATCGTGCGATGTATGCTTATACTTTGATCCTGTATTGCATAGCTTTAGGGACCTTTTTTCTCTCTCTTTCAACCAGACTATATTATATGTATGAATTTCTAAATGTGGTTTCCTGACCTTTTCCCTAGAGATGTCAAGAGTGTTTACTGGAGCTTTTAACACTGCTATGTGAGCATGAAGGTGCATATTTGCATGATGATGTTTTTTTGCCCTTATCCGGTCAATTTGATGGTTGATTCCAGCCTCTAGTGGGCTATTAAAAGAGCTTTCAAGCTTTGTCAAAGGCTCTTACAGTAATGTAAAACATGGCGATAAGTGTTAGCTTGTGCTTAAGTTGGATTAATTTAATCACTCACGTGGCTAATCATTCATCTCGTAATGATTTTTAATGATTCAACTCTTAAATAGATTATCTGAAGATTACCACTACATAATTGTGTGTGTATGTGTGTATGTGTGTGTGCCTCCTTTCTGATGCAGAAATTATAACTTTTCTTCCGTTCAGATCTAGGTCATTCTCCCTTTTTTAACCCTGAATCACTGTGTGTTTCTTTTCCAGACACTGCCGACCACAACATATGAGTTAGAGATTGTGGCCAAGGACATGGCAGGAAGTGAGGTGGGACTAACAGGAACCGCCACGGCAACCATCACCATTACTGACAAGAACGACCATGCCCCTGAGTTCACACATACGCTGGTAAGAAATATTGTTCTTTTTATATCCGTCTTTCTTTTGAGCTGTGGATTCTCTTTTTGTTTCGTTTGAGTTTGTTTAGCCAGGTCAGAGGTCAGGGTGAGTGAAAGCTGATGATTAAACTTCATTTTTTTTTAAGACAGACAGAGTTCACATCAAAAGGGCAGAAACTGGTCAATAGCCAGTATAAAACAAGGTCTCCTGGTAGAGGAATGACTTTCTTACATTTCACTTTTTTTTTTTTTTATTGAGGCATGTGGTGAGCTCTGTGCTTTGTTACTCAGACGGGTGAGGGTTACGGTTACTACTAGCATTCAAAAAAGAATTTGAGAATATGACATTATAGGGACTGCTATTACTGTGCAGAATACGAGCACATTTCTTTGGTCCACTCAGATTGTGCACTACCCTTGGTCCTTGGAGGCACCCTTACATTACGACCACTATCCGAACAGACAAAATATCAGGTATAACATACTCTCAAACAACAAAAATCTTGCAATATAAGTTTTTAAAAAATAGCTGTGTGGCAAGCCCAGGTCATAAAGCTCAGGTAAAAAGAACAAACAGCCAATTTCCCTAAGAAAAGTCATACGATGTTGAATGCTGTCCGTCTTTTTTGTTAATCTTTCAATCTTACTGAGACAACCATCTCTGCATCAAAGGGCCAACTCAACATATTACCATCAGACAACCAGAACATAGCAGGTTGTTTTTTCAACAAGGACAGATTGTGCTCATGTTCAGGTTCATACTGTGCAGGAAGTGTTTCGTTTTTATAACAGAAGGTTATGATTAGTCACAACAACAGCAAAGTAGATGCATTTGCTGTTAATAAGTGAGTACGGGCAGTATTTCTGTTAAAAAGAGAGTCAGATGTGTGGGTATAATGTGGCTCTGTTGTAGTACAGAGGGAATTATTGCTGTTCACTTTATCAGGACATTAGGTAAAAACAGAGGAACTGTAAATATTGCATTAGTAGAAACCAATACAAAGAGCAAAGTGAAATACTAGCAGAAGGTCATCCGAACCACGCTCAGTTGCCCCCACACATTCACCCACTCACAAATTATTTAACTCAGCGTGACCTTTTCTAGCAAAACATATTCCTCTCCTTGTTTTGTAAAGGTACATCTCAGATGTGACATGTTATAGCACATCACTGTAACTGGGTTGAATGGGTGCAGAGGCAAGATAAGGGGATCTGTGAGCAGGAGTGGGAGTAGTGGTTCAGGGATGGTTTGTTTAGTCAGCATTGCCTCAAGGCATTAGCGTAAAGCTAACAGTCTAAACCGGTGCCTGGCATAAAACCAACATGTACACATTTTAAAAAAGCACACAATTTCAACTGTTGGCCATTTGTGCCACCTCATTATATATTTGTCAAAAGTTGATGCAATGGCTGTTTTCTTTCCCTCTTCATCCCTCCTTCTGACCTCTGGAGGTAAAAGAGAAAAACAGGGTCTACGAGGTCCGGTAGAAAAAGAACCTCCATGCGCCTCTAGGTGCGGTTGTAACACTGACTTGTGTTGTTCTTAATGGAAACGCCCGCAGTTGTTGTCATGTTTTAAGACACATCACACATTACCCCAACCAAAACCTCCCCTACAGGCGTCCCATGATGCATTGGGGTGTCAGGGGAGCGTGTAAGGAACGCAGCTCAGATGTGAAATGTTACAGCTCAGAGGGTTTCGGCAGGGCCGCGTAGAGTGCACCATGTCCGTGTCCTAGTTAATGTTCTCATTTCTCACTGGGAAGAGATCCGTTTATCGGCGTGGAGAAATGGAGCTTTTAAAAAACAAGTGTTTGAAGGCACTAAGCTCCCTGTATAAATCCTCTACCCTCCATTCTCCCTGACCGCTCCCCACCTGCCCATGAATCATCTCTGACCTCCCAGATGACCGCCATCATGTCGTGAGTGTGTTTGCGAGTGCTCTGGTTTTGTGTCAGCAGGCTCTTAAGCTTTCACCGCATCAATTATTCAACTAAATATTAATGTATTTTCAAAGAACTTTCCAAAAGCCCCTACTCTTGTGTTGTCTTTTTCTGAAGACATCACCTCCTGCAGACGACTTGTGAGCTTTGAGTCTGTGTGCGGAACTCTAGCAGAGAAAGATAGAGAAGGATGAGTGCAAAGATTCCAACCTAGATACAGAGAGAAAGATGAAACCAAGCAAACAAATGTACAGGAGAAGGGTTCCTTCCTGTTATCATTCATGAAATCGAGTCTTGATGTTTTTTTTTCAAGTTTACTTTTTGTTTGAATTCAGCAAACAGAATCCCCACTTAGCGCGCCTCAGTATTTACTCAGACCTACCTAGCACAGCTCCTTGCACAGAGACAGATATTCATAGCTTGTGAAGTCTTCGCCTTAGACCACCACTCCACTGTTGCGTACATCCTCAGATCAGCCAGCGGGGAATCTGCTCTCCTCTTCCTCCCTAATTCATCTTTCCGCATTCAAGTTGTTGAAGTTACACTTCATGTAAAATACTTATAAAACAACTGAGTTCTTTATTTGTTATACGAACATAGCTACAGAGTAGTTATGTCGATGGAAATCTTAGGTCACAGGCTTTTCCAACAGTGCAACACAATAATACAGATAAACAGAAAATGATAGTGTAAGTAAATATTAAAAAGTAAATACAAAAAGAAAAATAGTTTAAAAAAAGTGAAATAGTGAAATAAGAGTCTATATGCAAGCTATTGGAATGATATATTAGATAAATAGATAATAATTACTAAGTAGCAGATGAATGTTATGGATGTTGTTTCAACAGTTCAGGTGTTTAACAGATTTTGCTTCAACAGTTCAGGTGTTTAACAGATTTTGCTTCAACAGTTCAGGTGTTTAATAGTCTTATGGCCTGTGGGATGAAACTGTCTCTGAATCTGGTGGTTTTTGTCCGGATGCTGCGGTAACGCCTGCCAGACGGCAGCAGACTGAACAGTTTGTGGCTGGGGTGATGGGGGTCTTTTATAATCCGGAGGGATTTCTTCCTGAGCCGCTGGGAGTAAAGGTCCTCCATGGATGGCAGCTCCGTCCTGGTGATGTTCTGTGCAGTTTTCACCATTTCCAAAATACTCTACTCTTGTCCAGTGTTGGGTGTAACGCGTGACAAAAGTAACGGAGTTACAGTAATGTATTACTTTTTGCTGTAACAAAGTAATGTAATGCATTACTAATGAAATTTGGGTAATATACTACCCCTTACAATTCTCAGTAACGCAGTTACAACTCATTTCAACCCAAAATTAAATGGAATTTAAAGGGGACCTATCATGCAAAATGTACTTTTGTACGTCTTTTATACATGAATATGTGTCCCCGGTGTTCCAGGGAACTCACCAAGTGTCAGAAAACACAACCCTCTCTATTTTCCTCCATACCCAAATCTCTAAAAAAGGGGCTGCAACGGATCCGATACAGACTGATCCAGATTTGAACACGTTACTGACGTCAGGACGGTGGCACTACGGCTATTGGGCCAACTCTCCACCTATCAGGGGAATGTGGGGTTGGGCCACGGCCGGCCATTGCCGCTCGAAAGCGCTGGAGACGCTGTAGTACATATGCCAGGCCTGTAAGTGGCGCTGTAGTCTGCCACAAAAGCAGCGAAGAAGACTTCCCGCCCATAGTTACCATGGTTACCCTTCTGTTTATTCTCCGCTGTGGCTTTTTTTCTCCCTCCCCGAGGCAAGCGTTTGCTCCCGCTGCAATGCAATCCCTCCCCGTCAAGGCAAGCACTGTAATTCTCTCCGGTTAGTCCACCAGCAGATGACAAACACCCACCTCTCCGCCTCTTCCAAGGAAGGCAGAGTTTCAGTTTCAGTTTGTTTCGCCGGTCAAGATGTCCATTAAAGTTTAAATCTTCCGGACAAAATTAGAAAAGTGCCGGTTAAAGGTCTTTTTTGTTATTTATTGAGCTTTAAAACAAATGAATAACGACTCTATATAATAAAACACGGAGGACGGAGATCTCTTTTTCTCCCCCTCTTCTTACAGCCCAGCAGCTGATCAGAGCACGTCTCCCCTCTCCTGCAGGGGGGCGTGGTCAGCAGAATCAGACCCGTAGACAGCAAACAGCACATAGAGCGAAATGAGGCATGGCTAAAATGCATTATCTGTTTGGTATTTTGAAAACAGAAACGTATAAATATACCTTATATAGGTATGGCCCTACAATATATCATTTAAATATAGCATGATAGGTCCACTTTAATTTACCAACATCGCGAGACATTCCGACACCAGAGAAAAATTGTGCGGGTAGATTAGTAAGCCTGGTGTTTACCCTTCAGGCTCATGTTGGCTGTCTAAGTATTCTCTAAGTGTTGTCAATATCAGTGATTATCAGTGATGGTCACTGATAATCACTGATATTGACAATACTTAGAGAATACTTAAAACCTTTAATTATAGACATTCAAATTAGCTTAACAGCATGCCAGTCTGCAGTTTCTATTCTCCTTACATAGTTCTTTGTAAAGATGGAAGATTCGGTGTAATCTGTCTTCCATTTTTAACATCATAAGCTAAGGTATCCTTTTGTATTACATTTATTACATTTTGCTTCTGAATAGTGGATTGGGCTCGGACCTGATTAATTTTTATAGCTGGTTTAATCCTGTTTTTATGAGGAGCAGGAAAGAATCATATGGAATCCTTCGGTAGCTCCGTTGTGCGAAAGGCCAGATATGTGTGCTCCGGTAGCGAATATGAATATTTCTCCTGAGGAATTTTATCTGCCAATCAAAACTGGGGTTTTATTATCTCCATGTGTTTATTCCAAGTCTTAGGCTCACTGTGGGTTACTGTGCTGTGTTGAATTTCATATCATGTTGTCTTAAAGTGTTACTTGGTCACACTGTAAAAGGCACTGGTCTCAGACGCTGGAATACCCTTTTCTACCTCCCTACTTAGCCCCCAGCCCCCTATCTCCTAGCCCCTTTTCCCCTTCACGTTTCCTCTTTTCCTTCTCAATTATATCACGTATCC